CGCGTAACTCCCGATTATCTTGGTCGCAACAACAGCAAAGAGAAAATGCATGAAAAGATTCGAAATATATGAGGGATAAAAACGCTATAAAATATCTAAATTGGGGTTGTCCGAAAAATCATGTAAAATAAAGTGAATGAGAATATAATTTATTAATTGAAGACAACAGTTGAGTAAAATCAACAAACAATCATATAAACTTTTAAAATACAAAGGTAATCCTGCAAAGTTCATGTCGTGAATGAAGTTCTTAAGTAATTGTAGAGGTTCTTGGCACGAATTGGGCCAAGCCCAGGACATAATGCTAGCTGTTCTTCACTGGCTTCGGCAATGGCTTTTAGAGTTCCGAAGTTATACAGAAGCCTGGAATGAAAGAAATTATTTGAGGACCGGAATTTGGAGAAAAATTTTGCAAAACTTTATTTCAATTGAGTTTCCTATGCAAAAGATGCAGTAATAAAACACTAAGAAAAGGCATGGGGTCTTTGTAACGGGGTTCTCACTTAAAATAACAAATGTCATGCAAATGCGGCAGTCAACGCACGCAGTCGCCAATCAATGCACATAAACTACACATAGGGTCGCGCGCGCGCATTCTGCCCTATGTGCCATTTGGACACAAACAGCAGACTTTTTGCCCATATAACTGTCCCATTTTTTGTTTTACGCATTAAGCAGGCAAGTATGCTCGGCGCAACAGCTTTTACTAACATTACCTTTGTGCATCGGATTTTGTCACACTTCTCGCTCCCGTAAGAACTCCTATGGCTGCATTTTGAAGTGCAGTTCTCTCATCAACTGGTACTGAGACTGGCTTCCTGCAAAGATGATAGCGGAAGCTTATGACTTATAAAAAGACTGAGAATATCGTACTTGAAAGTTGGGTCCCTGTTGTCAGCTAACTTCAGATTTTCGATGTATTCAGCAGCTTCTTCAACCTACAAAGAAAAAGATGTTCGTAAGCAAAATCAGAACAAAAATGAGCAATAAAACACATAGTAAAATGAGAAAATGGCATGGATTAATCTTGAAATCTGAATTTGTTTTACTATAGAGCACATCACTTTCGCATAAAACAAGGATAAAAATAAATAAATAAATTGTTGGCTCATATATAAAG